CAGCTACTTTGCATGACTGGAAGGATGGAAGGATGATACTGTATACTATTGACAATATCCCATACATTGCGAGCTAACAGCCATTTCCTCACAATCGGCAATGTTGCCCATTCTATGGCAGTGGAACGATGCTCCTGCTTCAGACATTCATTTCCATGATTGGATTATGTTGATCCGAGTTGATTTGGCTGAGCTACGCTCATACAAGGTTACTTCAGTTGAGCGACATAGAGCATGGTTAGATGTGTGGATTGATGTAATCCCTCTTTGGCTGTATCTCGGTCAAATCAACTCGGACCAACATAATCCAATCATGGAAATGAATGTCTGAAGCAGGAGAATCGCTCACCTGTCATAGAGTGGACAACAGTGGCTATTGTGAAGAAATGGCTGTTAGCTCGCAATGCACGGGCTTTTGTCAACAGTATACAGTATCATCCTTCCATCCTTCCAGTCATGCAAAGTAGCTGAGTTACACAAAGAGGTCCCTCTGCATCTTTTGCTCTGCCAGGGTCCAGCGACTTGACAATGAACAAAGACCACTCTTCATATAGCATCACGCTTACAAACATAAAGGCGCCTGTATCTCCAAACTTTACAATCAAACGTGGGGTTTTTATTAGAGCAATAAGCTCGTCTTGGCCAACAGCACCTTGTGTGAAAGTTTCACGTTCAATGTCGCAACTAGCCCAAAAAATATTTTTTTGGTCGTCGTCGTCGAAGAGGTCGACCCCCAGATCCAGTTTGGCTGGTAGCGACATTGCGAAATCTGGGATCGCCCACGATGAACTTCATACTTTGACACAAGATTCCTTTGACCCCGACAAGCACGTTGATCTATAAAAGAGCCCACGTTTGATTGTAAAGTTTGGAGATACAGGCACCTTTATGTTTGTAAGCGTGATGCTATATGACAAGTGGTCTTTGTTTAATGTAAAGTAGCTAGACCCTGACAGAGCAAAAGATGCAGAGGCTCGTGTTTGTGTAACTTGAGTCATTCAGCACAGGCGACGCATGATTCTTGTACACTATTTAGGGATAGTTCAAAATGCCAGCTAATAACCTTAGTTCTCCCATTCTCCATTGTTGTCCAATCCAACGCATACGAACGATTGTCCTGTTCCAGCCCATCATTGTCATCCTTCAACTTTCTTGATCCGAGTGGATTTGACTGAGCAACGCTCAAACACAGAAACATCATCCAATATCAGAAGAATCAAATTGGTAAGTTATTTGTAAACTGCCACTTGATAGCCCATTCCTCCCAATCACCTTTGTTTCCCAATCCAATGCATGTGAACGATTGTCCTACTCCAGCCCATCATTCTCACCATTGAACTTCCTTGATCCGAGAGGATTTGGTTGAGTTACGCTCAAACACAAAACATCATCCAATTTCACAAAAATCATTTTGCAAAGTTATTTGTAAACTACCAGCTAATAGCCCATTCCTTCCATTCACCTTTGTTGTCCAATCCAATGCATACGAACGATTGTCTTGCTCCAGCCCAGCATCCCCTTCCTTCAACTTTCATGATTCGAGGAGATTTGATTGAACAACGCTTGTACAAAGAAACATCATCCAAGCTCCAGAAAAAAACTATTTGATTTCGGTTCTTCCACTCCCAGCTTTATCGTCTTTCTCCCATTCTCATCTGTTGGCCCATTCATGTTCAACTACCAGCTGTGAACGATTGTCCTGCTTCAGCCCATCATGTCGATCCTACAACTGCCTTGATCCGATTGTCTTTGACTGAATGGGCAAGTCCATGCTGTGTGCACCCCACGACAACACCTGCGTTTCATACACCTCTTGTACACTCCTCTACCACGACCAATCGTAACAGCATTCATACCAGCAATTGCTATTAGCAAGGGCCTTTACTCCATTGCTCCAACAGCGTTCTTTACTTGCAGCATCCTGCCTTGCAGCGTTTTCACGTGAACAGCAGATAGCCATTGTATAGAAGCAGCTTTCTTTACTTGTAGCAACTTGTTTCAATACATGCGACCTCTTCTGGACATGGATATGGATATGGATATTGGTTTGGTACATGGGATGGAAGGATTTAGGTATATGCAACGCGAGGAAAAAGAGTGTATCCATTGTCTACTTGACCTTGATACGATCACCCTGTACGATTGGTGCATTTTGATTATCATCTTACTTTACACGCTATTCCATGGCAACTACTATTATCATCCTCTATGCAACCAGTCAACTATCATTATTCAACTCTATGCTTTGATATGTCATGCGTATAATCCGCCAACATGCATCAAATGACACATCACAACCGACCATTCACCTTTGTACAATAGACGCCTAAAGGATAGAAGCATTACGTATCAATGTACCCCATTGGAGCAATGTACATCTCAATCTATCTCCTGTGAATGATAATGTTGGATTAAAGAGTTACTTTGGCAGATCAATGTATAGTGTAAGAAAGCTTCTTCCTGAGTTGGACCCTTGTCATCGTATGTGGGCACCTGATGGATTGTATTATAGAAAGATTTATGCAGGATTGTAAAAGTATGCCCACTTGCAAATGCTGTGATAAAGATAAGAGAGAGAAAGAGGAAGGGTCTGATTGTTTCATTGTGTCTTGGACAAAGGTTGTATTAGATAGTATGGTGACACGCCTCCTTTTCTTGTCATTACGTAGATCTTACCAATAAGGTGTCCTAGCACAGGTTCCTCTTTGTGATTTGGATCTTGTAAGGTAGTTTTTTATTGCTATAGGGCGGGAGATACACATAATAGCACTGCCAAACGATGAATAAACTTAAAGCACAATAGACGTATTGGATGAGTGATGGGCGTACAATGAACGGAACAGGCTACTGAGTGGTGAGAAAGAGTGGTATAGTAGAGAACAATGAAGATGAGTGATGGCTGTCCCATTGCATTCTGAGTGAAGAATCAGGTGCTACACAGCGGCTAAATCAGTAGGTGAAATGGCGCAGGATGCATTATCTTGTTTTCTCTATCTCGACTTTTGCCGACCATGGGATCAGTCAAACCCATGTTTCGCAACGATCTTCGCGGCGTGGATGCTGTAAGTATTTGATCCGTCACCATGGCAATTGAGTATGCTCACAAGGACGACAACACGTAGTATACTCGACACAAAAAGTTGATTCGCGATTATGTCTTGCATTACGGCCGAGGAGCACCACCACCCAAGGCTCAAATACCCTCCAGTGTCAAAACTGAATACGATATCATCCGAGAACATCATCGGTATGAGCAGCGTCAATATCCATTACGACTTCAATACTCATATCCAGATACAATAGGTTTGTGCGTTCTGACGACGAGGATGATGAACAACAAAGTTGGGAGCAGCGTGTAGCCAAAAAGTACTATGACAAGTTATTCAAGGAATATGCCATTTGCGAGCTCAAATATTACAAGGAAGGCAAAATCGCATTGAGATGGAGAACCGAACGAGAAGTTATCCTTGGTAAAGGTATTGTATTTAGATGGGTGTCATGAAGGATGAGGTATCTAATATCGATCATGAGGTCAATTCATTTGTGGATCTACTCGATGTGATGAAAGCGACGATCTTGAAAGTTGGGAAGTGAATTTCGGCTATATGGAACATGGTGAAAAGAAGAACGAACTTGTCAAGGTGCGATTGTGTCCTGATTGTTCATACAAGCTCAACTACAAGCAAGAGAAACGGGCTGCCAAGGAAAACAAGAAGAGGAGGAGGAGGAGCAGAAGCACGAGCACTACACAAGATGATCAATCCAAATCCAAACGACGTAGACGACACAGCCATGAGGATGAGGATGAGGATGAGGAGGATCAAAAACGAGCAACATCTGAAGAACCCGAGAAGGAGGATGAACGATCCATTTGGAGCAAACCCATTGAACAGAAACAAGAAAAGTCAAAGGAAGAAGAATTTGAAGATTATTTTGCTGATCTTTTGCAATAAACGCTAAAGTAAAAGTATGATGATGTTTTTTTGGGTGGGGGATAGAAATGGATATGGGGATGTGATGAAGGGGTTGCTGTGTGTGTGTGTGTTTTTGGATGGAGAGGTTGAATCTATTTACAAGGCCTTATCCATGGTATCCAAGAGAATATCAGCATGGTGCTTTTGGAAGGTCAACATGGGTCGCAGACGCACAGTCTTTTCACCACAACCACCCACATTCACACCAAGTTGTCGCATGTCAAGCAAGAACTTGTCACGTTGGGCAGGATTTTCAAGATCAAAGGCAATAAAGGCACCTTGACCACGCACCGACTCAATCTTGCGGTTTTGTTGGAGATTGGTTTGAAGATAGTGACCCACATTGCGGACGTTTTGCAACAAGTCCTTATCATACACTTCGTTGACGATGGCAGCAGCTTGCATAGCACGCACAGGATCACCCATCCAGGTGTTGTAGAGGCGATAAGGTTGAGCGGGTCTCAAGTGTGGGCTGGTGTAAAAACCGGCAGCTTGGAATTTCTTGGAGAAGGTGACCATATCAGGCGGGGTAGGCAAGTTCCATGCTTCATGAGCCCAAAAGGTACCAGTGGCGCCAACACCTGTTTGAACTTCATCGACAATGAAAAGGACATCATTGCGCTTGCAAATAGCTTGCAATTCGCGGAAGAATTCGGGGGAAGCTAATAATGATAATGAATGAGTATATAATGGCATTAAAGTTTTTGCACCACGTGGCACACACACACACACGCACAAACTTACCATGATTGTCACCGCCTTCGGATTGGATTGGCTCAATAATGACAGCTGCGATCGTTTTCTTGCCATTTTGGATCATGTTTTCTGTTTCCTTGAGAGATGCTTGTTCCACTTGGCGATTGTAAGCTTCGTTTTCATGCAATGGATAACGAAGCTGGGGGAAAGGTGCATTGGGCCAATCAAAGGCAGGAATGTCAATCTTGTGAATAGCCTTGCTAGAGGTAGCAGTGAGTGATCCAAAAAGACGACCATGGAAACCACGAGAGAAGCTGAGAATGGCCATGTCATCAGGGGCACCTGGCGCTTGATTGCTCATACACGACGACAATTCTTGCATGGTAAATTCCTTTTCACCACGTCGTTTAGCAGCCTTGTACATGAAAGCGGTCTTGAAGGCATTCTCGTTAGCACACGAACCACACATGACTGTAAACACGTTCGACATGCCCTTGGGAGCTACACGCATGAAGGCATTTTCCACGGACTCAACCCAATCCTTGTTGGGGTTGACACCTAATGCCGCACTATAATAGTACACATGGTGGTGGTCAGCCGACCTTTATTTTCCCCATACTGAATTACCATAAAGAGGTTTCACTTACCGGTTGGCCAATGCTGTTTGAAAGGCAGGGTCGCTTGATAGCTTCAAAAAGGCGGGATTGTTATAGCCAACAGGAATAGAAGCGATTTGTGCAAACACGTCAAGCATGGTATTGCCATCAGCATCCACAATGTAATTGCCCTTGGAGCGTGCAAAGTCTGCATGAATCGGGAGACGTTTTTAGTAAAACATGTCATGTGCTCCTCGTTCTAATTACAATCCCAATCATACAAACCTGCAACAAAGAATACGGAACGAGTATCTTGATACTGATCCAAACGTTGAATGATACGCTTTGATTCAGGACCGGGGACATTGGTCAACATGGATGGTCCCATGGGCTCATCAGGGAAATAAGGAGTATGATTGCCACCAGCAAAGGATGATGAAGAATCAACCACACGGCTTGCAGCAGCTGAAGCATAGCATCTCGACAAGCGAGGAACGAGCAATCGACGTGCGGACAACATGAATAATGGATCGGATCAAAGAAAGAGAAGGGTGTAAAGAGACATTGGATCGGGGAAATCTGAATACTTTTTATAGGTGGATTACGTGGGAATTGGTGTCCCATCCTGCTGATAAGAACAATCCAGTATAAGGCAATTTCACTTTCCTTATACTGGATGGACATACACCTATCGGCAAAGCCTGTCAAACAACTAGAACCTATACGGCCATGGTTTCTTTTGTGATTGGTCAGTACCCTGCGTCGCATTAGTAACAAAACTTTTTGTTTGTTATGGTTCCATGGACATTATTCTATATACGATACCATTGCATGCGTAAGGGGTAGCATGTGTGTGTCTCAAGCGGATGTTGCCGCCCCTATTCTATCCCGTATATCCTTTGCCAACTACTATTTTGTAGCAAATAGTTTCGTTACACCGACCTTTAGTCCCTGTGGGTCGATCCGGTCTCTTAACGTCCCATTGTTCTATTGCTGAAATGGTGGCGCGCACATCATGTGTCCCGCACGCGTGCTTAATAGTAAATCCGCACTTTTTATGAAACCAACCACTATCAATGAATGCAATGCTGTTTGTAACATCCTCTTTGATGATAAGATAAAACCCCCAAAATACTGAGCCTCATAATCCCCTTTCATCCTCCCCTCCCCCCAAGCAGCGGTATACACACCGCGAGCGTGAAACATCAAGAATGAGTCAACAAGTTGCGTATAAGGCAAGGTTGTTTATGGGTGCGTGAAGGGTGTGATACGTGAAGGCGACACCGAAATGTAGGACATGGCATTTCTTCGGGGGACTATTGGGCTATATACAATGCTATCATGACTAAGATGGGGTGTTTTCAAGGTGCATCATCATTATTGTCAAGTGTCTTGGATGATAGGGAAGAGCACAATGGCTCGCTATAAAGATATTCGCTGGTGTCAGCAATTCCCAACAAGGACGGCGCTGACTTTTTTTAATACCGCGTATACCTTTTCCTTTTGCCATGGCAGCAGCTACAGAACTTCCATACAGCAAACGCCCTGAATGGAGCGATGTCTCGCCCGTTTCTCAAGACGATGGACCTAATCCCTTGGTGCCGATCGCTTACTCTGCAGACTGTAAGCTTTGCATGGGGACATTACGGCCACAGTTTGATGTAACGCTTTCAACAAAGATAGAGAAGCTATGGACTACTTTCGAGCCATAAGCAGGACACAAGAAAAGTCGCAACGCGTATTGGATTTACTACGAGACATCATTGAAATGAATCCTGCTCACTATACTGTGTGGTAAAGTAGTTGGTGGATGGAGGGTCAAAGGATGGGTATTGGTATATTGGTATATTGATATAAAGAGCTATCCAGGCAGTATCGACAAGATGTCGTCTTTGGCATGGGTGCCGATTTGAACAAAGAACTGGACTTCATCAATGAGATGGCCGAGAACCAAGCAAAGAACTATCAAATATGGTATGTGCATAGATGAGACGCGTCATGCAATAAACAAGATTGCTTACATGAGTTTAGGCATTATCGGCAAGTGATTGTGGATCGACTGGGTGATGGTAGTCAAGAACTTGATTTTATCAATGCCATTATTGATGAGGATTCAAAGAATTACCATGCATGGTCTTACAGGTAAAAACATTGGAAGGGCTTGGGAAACAGGATGAAGAGCTGATGATGTGTGTCTCATCATGATAGGCAATGGGTGATATCACGCTTTGGATTGTGGGATGGTGAAATGCAATACACGGCGGATCTTTTGGTATTCGATGTACGCAACAACTCTGCATGGAATCATCGTCATTTCGTCTTGTTCTCGAAGCCTGGATCAGCCAGCCAAAGTGATATTCAAGACGAGATTGAGTTTGCCAAGAACAAGATACAACAAGCACCCAATAATCCAAGCCCATGGAATTACTTGTCGGGGTAATATTTTTATCCATCAACGTGTAGTAATCATGTTTATTGATTTGCTGTGGCTAGTCTTTTAGAAGCATCTAAACAGCCTTTTATGCAAGTTGCTCCCTTTTTGGAAGACCTTCGAGCCAAGGAAATTCAGTCACCGCACCTGTTATCCATGATGATCGACATGTACGAGCAAGATGCAAAGGAAAACTCAAAACCAGTAGACCCAATGGCTCTGGAGGTAAAAAGTGTTGATTGCATACGAGTTGTGTTGGATATTCATGATGTGTCTATGTTAGATGTGCGATCATCTTGCTGATCGTATTGATGTCATCCGACAAAAGTATTGGAGATACCGCAAAGCACAACTGCCATGTTGAATGTTACAACACTATATCAATAAACCTCACGAATGATCACAAAGAATGCAAAGGATGATGATGATGCAATGATGAAGAATATATTTTCATAATGATTTCAACGCTATTATGAATCATGGAAGGATAAGTTGACAGCAGCATTGGCTAAACCAGCTTCCTGAATCTCCTGATCTAGCAACTCGATAAGCTGTTGACGATTAAAGACAAGCTATTTCAAAGAATATCAATACATTGTTCAACCTTCTTTCGAATAAAAAATTTTACCTCAAATGGACGATCTTGGGATTCTGGCAACTCGGCTTTCACAAACTCAAACAAGTATCGTACTGGGTCGGTCTTTAAAAACTTCCTGACAATGCGTTTGCCGTCGGGCGTTCGTAATTGTATACGTGTTGTGTTGGCTGGGTCGGTTGGCTCATCACGCTTGATGGGTTGTATACTATCCAGAGGAGACTTTTCTTGGGGTTCCTTGATATCCTCTTCTTGATTCTCTTGATCCTTATCCGCTTCTTCTTGTGTATCCTCTCCTTTTGCTTGTAAAGAAGCTGCAATGGCAGCATTGATCTGTTCCTCCTCGCTCATATCCGATATATTCTAAAACCAATCCTTTAATATACCATACCTTTTTCTCACTCCATTCCCTCCATTACCTTTAACATCCGTTGCTTTTTGACCACTGATGATTCTGCTGCTTCAGGAGAATGACGCTCCAAAAACTCAGTCACTAATATTCATGCATCAGTAATTTCCTAAACCAACATCCATCGTATGCCATATACCTTGCATCATGAAATCGGTGGGTGTTAAGACTGATTCCCAGGTATGAACTCGTTCGCCTTTAATGGAGTGATGATGAGCATAAAAGAAAACTTCATATCGTCATTGGTAAACCCCTACCTGTTCGCGCATCAATGATGGCTACGTGTGGATATTTGCTGATGGGATAGTATGTCAAGTATCTTTTGCCTTCCGGACTTTCACATGCATACTATCAAAAAAGACATGTGTCAATTCTTATCTCACTCATTCACACACATACACGCAGACCAACTTACCTGCAAGAATACAAATGATTCACGCACAAACTCTTTCACTGTCTCATCGCTCCATAAATCTCTGTTCAACATTTGGCACGTGAATTCAGTCGGATCTTGGATGTTGACCATGAGCCATTTGGTTTGTTCTCTTGCTGTAGCACGAGCCTGTAATCGTGTTAAGTGATGATGACCCTCATTCATGAATCCATTTTACTCCACTTACAGCTTCGAATCCTCCTTTGAACATGATATCAAATGGTGGTCTGAATAAATCAGCAAGTCGCTTGGCTTTTGCACTCATAGGAGATGTGCCATTAGGTGAAGAAGAGGACGAAGACGATGAACCTCCTGCTGCCGCTGCTGCTGCCGCTGCTGCTACCGGTGGTTGGGCTATTAAAGCAAATGTCAACAAAAGGCAAGATCGATCCATGCATGCATGTAATAAACAACATACTCAAATGGCGTAGAAATTCGGGACCCGGACTACCACTGGATGAATCACCTTGATTGAAAATGGAATGACGAGTCGCACTGGGACCTATAAAGCACGCATTGTTATGCACCATTGTCTATAAAGCATGTGTACGTGTGTGTGTCCCATTGTTGTTACCTTCTCGACCACCCCATAATGAACCATGATCAAACATAGTACCACCGCCCGTCAGAATATCATGCTTGGGAGCAATAGGAGCTCGTACATTGGATTGTTCACGTTCTTGGCGTTCAAGTTGTCGAGCGAGTTCTTCGTCAGAGACACCTACTCCTTCCGAAGGGCTGTCATTGCCACTGCCACCACCGGCGGCTGCTGCTGATCGAGACAATGACGAATCGATCGTGGTTGTCGAAGGTTGCGTAGATGTTTGTCCGCCACTTTCAAGAAAGAGGGTCACTGCTGTTTCCACATTGCCGTCTGCAACCTGTTCAAAGCAACGTCATTCGAGTAAGCATCGGAAGTGTTGGTGGGTAGTCAAGCATCATTGGAGATAACCGAACCTGAAGATACTGTTGAGCTACTTCTGGAGAAGCATTGGTAACACTGCAAAAGTCAAGAATGGCTTGATCGTCGATATCCATTGTATATGAAAGGGTAGAAGAAAGAGAGAAAGGAGAGCAGACGCGTCACGAACACTTCAACTCACATTATTCATGTCTCTTTTTCCTCCTCCTCCTCCTTTCAGCCAAAAAGGGAATGGACTTGCTACTCGGGATACACACTATGAAACCGGGATAACATCCTTATACATGAAAGGTGATGCTTCTATGACCATCGGATATCATTGATACTTCCAAGTCCACTTACGAACAACGTTGTATATATATGCTTTTGAGCGAGAATGGTTTCGATGGAATACTATTACTTGCATACATCTATCTCTGGACCTTGGTGAACGGTGAATTTTCTTATTGGCCATTTTGATGCATTCAAAACCAGGCATGGATTTGCTATTGTACGCCATACGCCGACTCGATAGGAAGCAATCGACATTGGCCCTCCATTTTAATATCCCTTCTACAATAATGACTAGGGGCTCTATTCCTTGACTACAAAAGCACACCCTTTTATAATAAAAAAGAAGACATTAGACCCATTCACTTATTATAATACAATTGAGGAGCAAATCCTTCCTTATCTTTAAAGCGATCCTTGATCGTTAAAGCAGATCACTATTGTAGTACAAGTGTATGTTTATGGAAGAGTTGGATTTTTTCTATTCATAGTCAGGTTCACTAGCAGGTTTAACAGCTGGATCAATGCCGATGGATTTCATCTTGACTGCAATCTCAAAGAGGTAATCGTAGCACTCGGTCATGGTCTTGGCCTTCTCCCAGGATTCTATCATGGTAAAACAAAACGTCATTTATAGCTCCTTTGTAGAGATGCATTCCTTGCTTATCTTACCTCCCCATACATAAACACCATGACGACGCACAAGCACAGCATTGGTTTCAGGATGTGCCTTCATTGCCTGTATAAACACAGGTTAACCACTTTCCCTTTAATGCATATCCATCCACACACGTTACCTCTGCCATGCGATCCGTAAGATCCTCTTCCTCGGGCGTGTTTTCAACGATGGGCACTACAAGCTTATCAAAGTAGCGAAGATTGGTCTTGGTAGAGCCACGACGGATACCCTTGATCATTTCTTGATGTGAGATTTCAAAGGTGGATCCAGGATACAGCAAGGTTGCCATGACAGCGTTTTGTGAGTGGGTATGGATACATGCACCAGCATCTCGCATCGTGTAAGCGTTGTAAAACAAAGGTGTACATGCCGATGGCTTGAGCGAACGGGGTTCACGCAAAAGTGTACGGTCGGCCAGTGTCATAACAAATAAATGGTGTGGTTCCATACGTTCCTTTTGGACACCTGAAGGTGCAATATAGATCTTTTCGCTAATGGTGACATGAGTATAGACGAAGAAGAGGACAACAACACTGATCGAGTAGAACGTACCCATCACGAATACTAATGCCACCTCCAGTGCCTGTGACCCAACCCAAGGTATAAAACAGACGACAAAGTTCTGGAATGAGGTTTGCTGGGTGTTGAGGATCGTCCGATTGACAAAGAGCAACAATGTCTTCACCCGTATTGATAGCAGCCATCGTGTATACCCAGCCAGAAAAGAAGATTGACCGAGTGATCTCCCCCCATTTGCGGGAATTCAAGCAGTAAGCAACAGCATCGTCCCGCCCGACCGACCCCTTATTCCTTGGATACGCTAAAGTATGTTCATCATCCAAGAAATCTTCAGCTACATATACAACAACTCGTATTAATAGACCACGTGTTCCTGTTATTAGATTAGCATACGAAATGAGTTTATTTTCATCTTGGAGATGCCTAGCAACCGATTAAGGAGAGAGAGAGAGAGACAGAGAGAGAAGAAGAATCATAATAATAATAGTAGTAGTTGTATGCATGATGGAGGTATGCAATAGATAAAGATGAAACATGCTGTTGACCTGCATTTGCATACAAGAGCGCGATGGTTCCACTGGATAAAATGCAGTGCCTGTTCCCCTTGGTGGTACGGCTGTGGCTGGTATAAATTGCCCAGAAAAGTACATGTGTTCCGTTGCACATTCCCTACGAAACTTCCAATGGGCCCTTCTATTGGCAAAGATTCAAGCGGGCATAGAAGAGGAACATGCAAGAGGAGGGAGAAAGTGTGTGCCCTGTGTATGTGTGTGCATGTGTGTGTGTGCCAACCCATCTATTAGTAGAGAAAATCTCATATTAGCTGGTCTCAGTCTAATAGCGCCGTTTTCTTTTTAACCTCTTCTTTCTCTTTTCCACTCTTCTTCTTTCTCCACTCTTTCCACTTTCTTTCCTCCATTCACCCAATGAACCGAGAGGCTGCCCCACTATTATCCAACGGCTCGGTGTCTCACCATGAGAAACCCACAATGACTCATTCTTTCAAGGCCTTCATTACCTCGTCAAAGTTCAACGTGCTTCTAGTCTTTGTCCCTATTGCTCTCGCCTTTTCATTCACCGGTGCTTCCTCTACGCTCGTTTTCTCTCTCAACTTTATGGCTATCATGCCTTTGGCCAAGTTGCTCGGCTTTGGTAAACATTTACGCGCGTAGTATCCAAGTATAGGACACTAACAGGGTGACATAGCAACCGAGGAACTGGCTTTGATGAGTGGTCCTACCATTGGTGCCTTGCTCAATGCTACATTCGGTAACGTTGTTGAGCTTATTCTCGGTGTGATTGCTCTCAAGGATGGCATGATTCGTGTTGTTCAAGGTAAATAGAATACTCTCCCCTATCATCTATAGATGTGTGTGCACTGACATGATATGATTTCATCATCATCATCAGCCTCTGTGATGGGTTCTATCCTGTCCAACATTCTTTTGGTAAGGATCATCGTGGCTTGTGGTGGTAGCGTCTCCTGACAAAGTGGCTCACATGACGTAATGCATTTATTAGGTACTTGGCTTTTGCTTTTTGCTTGGCGGCCTTGGTCGTGTAGGTCAACAATTCAGCATGACTGGTAAGTCGATCTCTCTCTTTTATTTGGAAAATGGGTCCACTAACCATCATTGGAAATGTACAGCTGCACAAACTTCGTCATCCCTTCTTGCCTTGACCACCATGTCGCTTCTTGTGCCTGCCGCTTTCAGTGCCACCACCTCTGATGACAAGGATGCCGAAATTGGTATTCTTAACCTTAGCCATGGTACCGCCCTCGTGCTCTTGGTTGTTTATGGTCTCTCTCTTTACTTCCAAGTAAGTCAGCTACCGGACATTCAACTTGCATAATGAATATCCCTTCTCATTATCATTGCTGTTCCTTTTTTAAGCTCAAGACCCACCGTGCTCTTGTAAGTATCTCGGCCACTATGAATGCTTCCCCTCCTCGTAATAACAATGATTCATTTTCATTCTAGTATGACCAAGTCGAAGGTGAAGAAGATGAAGAGGAAGAAGAACCCCAAACTAGCATGCTTTTCTCTGTTCTCTCGTAAGTCTTTTTTTACAAGTTTCTCATTGAATGAAAACACTAATCCTATTACAGGCTCGTTGCTGTCGCTGGTCTCGTTTCCGTCCATGCTGATTTCCTTGTTGGAGCGTGAGTATACAAAAACTATCCCCTTTGTGTTTCATTTATTCATCGAGCGATCATTGTTATAGCATCGAAGGTGTTGTCGAAAAGTGGCAGATCAACGAAACCTTTGTTGGTGTCATTCTCTTGCCTATCGTCGGAAAGTAAGTCGTCATTTTTCATCCAAGTATAACACCATGAGACTGATAAACAATGTTTGTGATTACAGTGCTGCAGAGCACGTGAGCGCTGTTACCTTTGCCATGAAGAACAAGATGAACTTGAGTATCAACATTGCCATTTCCTCTTCTTTGCAAATTGGTTTGTTTGTTACACCCGTTCTTGTGATTGCTGGATGGATCTTTGGTCAACCCATGACATTGTTCTTTGAAAACTTTGAGACTGTCATCCTCTTTGCCAGCGTTCTCATTGTCAACTACTTGATTCAAGATGGCGTGTCCAACTGGCTTGAAGGCACTTTGTTATTGGTATGGTATACGCTTGTTTCTTTATATTCCAAAGTACTCACACAGATGTCTTTTCATAGGCCTCTTATACCATTATTGCCCTTGCCTTCTGGTTCCACCCTGTTTAACTTATTTTGTATGATTAGACATATATATGTTTTATAAACGAGTTATTCTTGTGCTATTAATTGATAGAGAGACGTAAACGGGCACGTGTATGTATAAGGGGGAAGGGGAAAAAAGGGGGGGGGGAGAAAGACAAATGCATCGGCAAAGGAGCCAAAAAAACAGGAGGATTTTAAGCCGACATGCATACGTTTTTAGTAGTTGGGTATTGACCCATTGTGCGTATGCTGGTACAACGTGACACTTGCAGTGGCCAAAAGAAACAATGATTAGTTGAAACTCACTTTTTTGGTATCACAAGAGTTCCATGCACATACACACACGGGCAATGCTGGTCAATCTCCACACACGCACACACACACACACACACACACACACGCACCCACACTTTTGTTTTCACTTTCTTTCGCTTTTTCCCCATTTCACTCATCTCGCTCATTGCTTTTTCTTTTTCCTCTTCTCATCGTCGTTCTCAAGGCTCAAAAGTCAATCTTTTTTATACTACAAGCTGGACAACAACAATAGAGTCTCTATGGAACTCGACAAGGAAGACGCTGAAGCAGGATCAATATTAATTGCTCTCGCCAACCATCAACCACAGCAAAGACCATCACAGTTGTCGCAAGTAAATATCTTTCGTTTTCATTTCAAAGCTTAAGATGGATCCTTTATTGACTTTTACAAGTCATTGCACAACCAAGGATCGATGTCTATTCGGAATTTGCTTGGTGATGATGATCCTTCGGATGAGGTATTGTATTTTGGATAAAGCAACTTCTCCGCTTACCATCATTCATTGTTCTAGACAACTACTACGACTATCTCACGACCCCGACCTTATGCAACTGTATCCGATCACGGGCCACGTTCCTTGTATTATCCTCCGTATGTGTGTAGAGCAACTTACTACAACAACAACGTCTGAAAACGAATGACGTTATGTCTTGTATATTGTAGACCATCATCATCATCATCATCATTGCTTCGCTATCAACACCACCATCATCATCAAGTTCGGCCTGCTCCACCACCATCAATGCGATCGGCTCCTTCGGTGGCGGTGGCAGTAGCCCATACTGAAACAACGAAGGAAATAGCGCCAACCAGTACAGCCAGCGATCCAAAGATTAGACGCAATGCACTCCACGCTTACATCAGCTATATGATTTATACCGATTTGATCAGCCATGTAGGTTATCTATTAACCAACTCAGAAATGGGCTATTGATAATAGTATACAAAATTAGCATAAACGAGGAGGCATTGCATTGACCAAGAACGAACGATCATCCCCAACCGCCTTTGACAAGGTACGTTTACAAACAAACAAATCATTTCACGTTTTCGACTAAGCTCCCCAATTATAGGTACCTCCTACTACTTCTACTAAAGCATCGTTTAGCTTTGAGAGACCCATGGCTACACCAAATCATGATCACCGTCATTCCAACCCGGACAATATCATCCATCGCCCTCTTACAGCTTTCTTGCGAGACCCTGATCCTCGTAATGGTAACAGACCACGAGCATATACATCCATTCCCTTGTTACCTGGTTATACCAGCACCTCCAGAAATCAACATCACTAAAGGCAAATGTAACATCTTGTATATATATAAAAACACACATATGCATTCCTTTTCTTCACATTATTATCCATTTGGATGCATTATTGAAGATGCTGTTGTTGTTTAATTCTTTTTTAAAAAAAGTGTGGTATTTACATGCTTTAAAACTTTACAAATGCTGTCGTGGATATTGGCAATAACGATCCTTCAATCTCACCACCTATGTAGGATTCAATGTTAAACAACACGTACATGGATTCTGTTGTTCTTTGTTTGCTTACCTCAATGACACCCTCTACTGAAGTATTGATGGCGTAATGATGATCCTCTACGTTATGCACCGTGTGTCGCTCAAGAACATCACCCTTGAAGTATCGCTTCTTGTTGCTGTCCCAAATGGTTTCACTACGCTGCCACTCAAAGTCAAAAGGTGGTGTGCCGACAAGATCGACAGTGGCTTGCACCATCTCGCCTATATCAAACATCCCATCAGTCACCAAGAACAACATGTCATGTATATATATACGTACCTTCTTGAATGCTTTCAATCACCTCACGACCACCGCTGACAAGTGAGGAGGGGACTTGATGGATAACCTTGGTCATGCCCTTGGGGAAGGATCGACATTTGTTGCGTTGATCACCCACCGAGACGATGGTCAAGTTACCAGGCTTATCAGCAATCATGGTCAATCGAGAGGTAGCCGACTTGATCTTTTCATTACGGCCATTGAATTGGTATGCTAAAGAAAACAATACCCAGAATTAGAAAAAGAGTCATTTGGATACAAACAAAGAGCCACTTACAGATAGTGAATGGACCAATGCCGGACAAACTATACTCGAGAGTATCACCGACACAATGCTCGGCACAGGTTTCAGTGGGTACAATGGTGGCAATATCTTGAGCATCAATAATGAGCAACGTCTCGGGTCCACTGGCACCAGCTGTACATCCATTGCTGTCACGCACGCTGAGCAATTGCAAATCGTATTGACCAGGGGCAAGCACTTCATCCTTCAACTCAAGCTTGTACTTGTTCGATTCAATATTCTCCAAAAGAACGGTCTTGCCATAAGGTTCGGATTGATGCTTGAGACCCAATCGTACAGTGAAAGGCGCTTGGCCCTTAAGCTCAAGCCAAATGGCACCCACATCATCAGAATCAAACGTATCGCCGACACACACCGTGCGCTCATATCTTGATTTGGATGCAAACTTGACAGCTGGAAGGCTGTGTACGGTTTGCTCAACCACAAGAGGAGGTCGAATCTTGAGCGGGTTCATGTAGCGTTGATCAGAAATCTCATTAAAGCTGTATCGATATTTGCCGCCTTGTTGGGTTTGCATGCCAATCCAAGTCTTGGAAACACCCGATCGCACCTCCTCAGTCGAAAGCAACATGCCATCACGCTTACCAGGCAAGATGTGATGTTGGCTGTAGGATGTATAGAAGGGTCCTTGGCCTAAGAAAATGCATTAATAACCATTGTCCAAAGGTTTTTCATACTTGTACTTTACCTTGGAAAATGATATCAACAGCGTCACTGACGCCTTCGCACACTGCTTGACGCTCATAAACACCATCATCACGCAAAGAAACCATATCTTCAGCAATGGAAAGCTTGGGCTTGTCGATCCATTCCACAGTGTAAAGCGGTGGCAAGGCATCACCTTTACAAATAGCATCCTCAACGCTCAATAGCTCATATTGACCCTTGTCAGTCACTTCAATCTCGGCATTTGGATCACGTAATACAAGCTTGCGGATTTTCTTTGGGTCCTTGTCAACGTTGCGATAAGTCACCTTCCATGGGCCTTCACCCGTCAAGCGTAAAGGTAGTCTAGCCTTCTCTCCTTCAGCCACCAAAGCCAATGCACCTTCTTCCTCATCAGTGTAAAAGAACACCTTGGGTCGGTCGCGTCGAACATCGATAATCACATCACGTGCTTCAAGATCCTTGATACAGTCATTGGCATCTTGGATCTATTTTAGGGTATCATATTATTAGCCATCCATATACATACATCCTCATGCATCCTTTGCAAATTTACCTTGACAAGAGATACAACATGGTGTCCAGCTCTCGAGAGGCGAGGTACATGGATGACATGTCGATTGCCAGTGATAGTGTCGGTATAGGTTTGGTTGGCAAGTGCCCATGTAAGCACAAATGGACCAGTGCCACTGAGCTCAACGGGTAATTCAATGTCGTCGCCAACGCACGTTCTCAAAGCTGACTTTGCCGAACCAGTAAACTTGGCATCAGGTTGAGGATGAACAACTTGCTTGATAGATTGGATCTCGGGGTTGCGATTCTTATAGTTGCGATCATCCAAAACAGTAAACTCGTAAATGTATTCACTAGCAATACAAATTAGTACATGGATAATCAACGATTGATACCAATTACTTACCCACTGGAGCTTGGCAAATAAGTGAAAACATGTCGCGATCGATCCACTCGCTCACGTTTCTTTTCAACCACAGTCTTTGATCTACCATTTTGCTTGATGATTCGGTATTCCAATGCAAATGGAGGAGTGCCTGATATAGATCAGGTTATTAGCCTTATTTCCCCATCACATAGCATTTCTAGAAACTTACCTTGGAAATCAGCTGCAAATCGCATGCCAATTTCAGTATCACCAGCACATTCGGAGGGAATAGGAGTTGCTTCAAGACCAACGGCTGGCAATGGTGGTTGAATAACTTGACATGTGGAGGGGAAGAGGATATCACCACGGCAAAACTTGTCTGAGACACGTAACAACTTGTATTCACCAGGGGCACGAGCTTGCAATGCCGATTTGTCAGTGCTAATCTTGGTCTTGTGGCGAGTGGCAGCAGTAGTGGAATCAGCATTCTCAGCAAGGTACTCGTATTCAAGCTCCCATGGGCTATCACCCTTTAAGGAAAGAGGCAGCTGTGTTGATTGTTCACCAATAAGTAGTTTGACAGGATCAGTGGCCTTGCATTCAAAGCTGACGGAAGGTTGCTTGTGGACATCAAAATGGGCAACAGCTGGATCAACGGGTTCCATCACATTGCCAGCACCATCAATCACTCGATCAATCATGTACTTGTAATCGCCGGTGTTCTCAAATGTGTGTTGCAAATTGATAGTCAATTGTGCTGAGGCGCCCCAATTGAAAGATGTATGATGTGCTGATGTAAAAAAGGCGGGTTCGGCATTCTCCAATCCACCAGGGATCTTTGCAAGTGGCGAGTCCAAATTTTCAGGCTGAATACGATCCATCTTTAGCTTAGCACGTCGATCATTGACATAGCGACTGTATTCTACACGAAGAGGGGGCACACCCGTAACTCGGAATTGAAGCGTGTCCTTTTCTCCACTACAATAGTCTGGGCTTGGTGCCGGAAGGAATTCAGCAGTAGGGCAAACGAATACATAAACAAGTCGATTGTAAAGTCGCACATCCAAGCCGTCTTTGCTGATAATGCTTTCCAACTTGTAAACACCAGGATGTCGTACACGAACAAAGTAATGCTCAAGATCATGTTTTCCATGTCCAATCTCGGTTGCACGGTGAATGTCGCCACCAGAATATTGGTTGACCACTGATTCCTCGGTATCGAAGTCGTAACGTGAAAGGCTGATGGTGCGTGGGATGGTGTTGTTCAAAACAATGGGAACATAGATGTTTTTGCTGCCAATCTCGTTGCTTGGGATACAATAAATCTCGTCTCCAGGATTGAGCTTGGCCGTTCTACACACGTGATTCTCTTTTTAGTGAACGCTCCCTTCAATACCACTATTGCAAATGCTTACCCATAAGGAAGAATATGTACAGTATGTCGTCCCAAAATATGAGATGAATCGAATACAACATCCTTGACGTTGATCATCTTCCCACGTGATACGCTGATTTGCTTGCCAAGGGCATCGCCTATCATTGTCGTTAGCCACCATGCCACGTGTTGATATTATCGATCCTCCACCATGCCAACTCTATACATACCTAGCAATGCTTTCAACACCACAGTCGTTATAGCCGCCTAATAAACATAGGTATCATCAGCCCTCCATGTCCATATCACCATAAAGCATACTTACCGATGGGATTGAAAAGATAAACAGATCGATCGTGGCGAGTAAGATAGCAAGGGCAATCGTCTTGAATTTGCTGAACTGGAGCCAAGGAATCTGCATGATCCAGAGGACGAACAAGTAGACGCAATCGAAGGCCCACCACTTTAGTAGCTTGCTGCTCTGTTCTTCAGGGTAATGTGCTGTGTAGACGAGGTAGACATCGTATAATTTAAGTGCTTGTAAGAGGATAAATGCTGAAGTCGCGTAGAGTCGTTGTGTCGGGAATTCTATGGTTGAGGCAGGAATCAAGGCCCTCTGATGGGTGAATGGTATCGCCGTATCGCGGCCTCCACCTCCTTGTGGTTGTTGGGCTGCCTGCATCTGGATGCGGTTTCCGTCAAAGCAGCAAAGAGAAACAAGAAGGGTCAGGTCTTTAAACGCGGCGGCGCGTGCCCCTCTCCTTCTGGCAAGAAAAATTGTACAAGCGGGAGTTGCAACAGCAGCCAATGAGAATGGGAATCTTCCAATCAACCAGACGAGAGAAATGCCATCCATCCCTAACAACAATGACACTCCATTATTCATTCTCTCCATTCAAAGAAAAGTAGAACGTGTATGAGCACGAGGTAGTCATATTGTTCATGTTGTCATTGCATATAACACAAATAAAGACGCTCTTTTATGATACACGATGTACCACAAGAAGAGGGGTTAAAATGTCACCATGGCAATGACAAGCAACAACACAAATGACCACAATGGCCAATATATACCTGCTTTTGCAACGCTTGGTACTCTATGGGATGTGCAATCGCCTGGATGTGATAGAAGAAAAAGATGTGTGATAGAGCTCATCATGACAACATCATCCATCATGCGAGTGTGCATGGTGGATATAGGCATTGTTTTCGTACAAGCAATGGAGACCATGATGGAGATGATAAATTGGCCAACTTCACTTGCCACGTGCAAAAAAAAGCTTCACCCACGAAGATGGATTTATCAGAGTTGATGTCCCAGCTCCTTCGACTTAATACAAGTTTTAACTTATCGGCTGACAGACTGCGAATACGAAAGAAAAGCTGGTGATCTTTGGATTTGGCGTGGCGAAAAAGTTCAGGTTGGCGTTTTCTCTTTAGCCATATGGCAATTACTTTTCTCTCATTACATACCCACCGCTTTTTTGCTTGGTGAGCTGTTGCTGGTCATAGTAGATGTAATAGAAAACAAAACAACATCGCCGACGCGTTCATATGAAGTTGTACAGAAACGAAATGTGGTACATGCATGACATGGTTTATGGTGCACATTTTCCATAGCACTACTGTAGCAAGCACTTAACCTTCTCGAGGATCATCGATAAAGTTTGAGTCATCGTCGATTACGCCAAATTTCATCCTGCATAAACATTGAATAGTGTCATTTCACCGAATATAATCGAGTTGCGTGGCGAACGGCAGACATCATGCAATGAGTGAGGTCATATGCTGATCTTTTGATGATGGATAAGCGAGTTGGGAAAGAGGGATGGGGACCACTGTTAAAGAATAACACGCAGTGACCCGCCTCCCTTGCATAAATCATGCCTGTATGCGCTTAACACGCTTTGAGCATTCGATTGTGATCATTGGCTTTTATCCTGCTAACGTGTCATGTTGGCTGGGCTTTAATCTCCATCAATAATCTTGGAAGCAACGACACCTCTTTCATTGTCGACAATACCAACTTTCCCATCGAACCCCCTTACAAGTCGAATAATAACGTTTATTTTGAGCACTCAACCTCAATTCGCAACATTGTGTATACTCTACTTCAGTCATTGGGTAAGTCAATGCGTGTTCTTGGGTACTGCAATGGGCCAATTTAATAACGCAGCCAAACGGCTCCTTCCATTTTAAGCTTCCTCACTTTGAGTCATTGCCCGATCATATTCAACATTGAAGTCACCTTAAATAAGGCAAATCATCAAGGTGGATAGCATGCATTTGACCGACGATCAGTTGGTGGATTATGCATATCGTGATTGGGTGGCAGAAACGGCGGACCTTGACTACTTCTCCTTTGCCCGGCATTGTCAACTTTCGGAGAGGGACACGAACGCACATTATGGATCGATCTTGAACACGCTGCTAAAGAGTTCTCACCACAAGGTTGCGAAAATTGCAAAGCAAGCCAAAAAAACGTTCATGGTAAATCACAAAAAGATGATGGTATCATGAAACATCTTCACTAAAATCTTTCTATAGCAACGCAAGGGGAAGGGCAGTAATGAGAAGTCTGATTTTTTTGTCAAGTATACGCAGTTTTGGGGCAAAAGTGGTGGTCATGAAAGCCAGCAACAAGACCTGAGTACAAGCGAAGCCATTTCACGTTTGGGTAAAAGGCAATTTGACACTATGAGCGAGTTGAACGACATCATGTGCTCGATCGTTATTGACAAAGCAAAGAAGGTGAGTAGATTCACAATGACGTTATTTATTTATAAGATAAATTTACAAAGAAACATGCATTTTAGATGAAGATGGCCATGGATGAAGCAGCAGAGCTGGTCTCAACATTACCGAAGCCAAAATTCATCAGGTGAGTTTATACATAGTTCATCACCATTTGAGTGTCATCACTAACATGTAAAACATAGCATCATGGTTGGTGATATCCTTGATTGGGATAAGACGACCAAGAAAATCCTCAAGGAGACTTCATCCTACAAAGGAATCGAGAAGCGTCTTGCATTAGAATCTACTACGAGATCAAGCGTATTCATCAAGTACATCAAGCAGATTGTGGATTGTTCACCAACGCAGCATAACCTTCAAGTCGCCATCCGTACTTCGCCTGTGTCACCATCAGATTATGATTGCGATGCACATGCCGACTTTCGTATCGCCAAGAAACTCATGCATCACTTGTAAGTCTCAATCGTAGGTTTCTACTTTGTTGTCTATTCTGATCTTTGTACTTTCCTAGCCTTGACCTCATCCAAGCACCTGTCAAAATCCTTCATGAACGCTCCCTTGAACGCACAGCAGCTTGTTCCACCACTATTTTCCTTATCAACACGTTCTTTGTATCCTGTAATGACACGCTCAAGCTTAAGTGGTACGTAGGAAACATGTTGAAACGGCATCATGTTATTGACAATATGGGGATATTACTAGGATTGAGGTTAGCGCTGTGTCCTCCGGCTCTGTCAAATGGGATGGCCTTGGTTTGGCCGTTGGTGATGCTTGCCCGGATGCTTTACCCATGGTTGCAGAATTTGCTGGCAGTATCCACACACATACAAAGTTGAAAAAGAACAGCGACCATGCCAAGCTTTTACTCCAGGCCAAAGACATAGTTGATGCGAATTCAAAGTATTCAAGCGTTCACTGCCGGAAGGTGTTTTGTATTTTGTATCATAGTAAGGAGCGAAAATGCATATAGCTGCATGATGGACCTTTTATTAATCATTGTATTTGTAGAGATGAGCATCAGGTTGGATATCTTGGTCAATGCAGAGGACAAATACATCCGCAAGAACATCATGGAGGTAACGACATGGCATCATCTATACTAAGACAATGGCTGATTTAATGAATGTAGTTTAAGCTGCCGACCACAGAAGTCGAACTTAAAGAATTTGCTGCCAAACTGGAATTACTTTTGCAATGGCGTGACTCAATCATATCCAACGTAGAATCTTTGCAGACCTAGGTATGGCACAGTGATATCAATTCATCTACTTCGCCTTGTCATTTTGAAAGCTTATGGATGTACCCAATGTATTTACGTTCTACCATTACTATGTACAGCTTGGTGGATCATGGTTCTCTATACATCATGTGCTATATTTTTCAATAAATCTGTAACCATGCGACGTATGCTTTTCCCTTTTATTCCAGTGTACTTTGTGTATAGGTATTACAACATCATACGTGATACTGCCCTTGATGATTTTCACACACAAGCGTGCATAAACAAGAAAAGTCTATGTTGATCCAAGAGCATCTGGGATTCAAGTCAATTTCTCAGAGTGTGCGATCAAGTCCATTGGGTTCATTATCCGTTTCTATCACGAAGAACAAAGAACGGCATGAGCAGCCATCAACGACCACCGCCCATGGGCACTACTGCACCCCCTCCTCGTCCACAAACCTCTCCGAAACCTGGCATGAGACCACCAGCACCAGCAGTACCTGGCATGCAACAACCCAACAACGCGATCCCACCAAGGCCGCCCGCGTATACACAATCTGCAGGTGCATAATAGAACTCCCTTACCAAGACTCGACCAATCTCTACCGTATAGCGTGAATGAGTACACTTACAATGTGAGTAATTGAATAGGTACACCCATTCGACCTGTCTATGGCCAACCTATGCAGCCTGTACGTCCTGCCGTTGGTGGTAGTGTTGGTAGTAGTAATACTGTTCCTCCTCCTCGTCCTCACATGGCACGCCCTCCACATCCAACAACATCCAACATTGCTTCTCAACCTATGATTCCCGGGCAACCTGTTGCAACTACACATCCAAGCCCACCATCAGCCAATACCTTGGTATCGCCTATGCAAAACATGAATTTGGAACATCAACGCCCCAATGTACCATTACAGGTAATCGCATGAGGTGTGTGTGTGTGTGTGTGTGTAGAGGCGCATGACCTAATCATGTGATATAGAAAGCGACATCGAAGCGTGTTTATCCAACTATGGCATCAGGATCTACAACAACAACAGCCCCTGCTGTTCCTGCAGGTGCACCATGGCCACATGGATTAGGTCCACATCAACAACCTATATCTCCATTGCAACAACAACAGCAACGACCTCCTCCTCCTCCTCCTCCTCCTCCTCCTCAAAGTGGACCCACGCCATCACATCATAGTAGCAGTCGATCAGCATCTGCAGGTGTCGGCTATACACAAGGACCATTCACGCATACCCAACAAAACCTTCCTCCTGAATTACGTCCACCACAACAACCACGACCTCGTATTGATCCCGACCAAATGCCTGCACCTGTACAAGTACGAGAACAAGATCAACAGATATTCGGTGACAAGTTTTTTGGAACCCTTGAACGTGATCGGGTACCCTTGGCTACAACGGATTATATTGGATTGGATCAAGGTAAGTCATTGATCTTGTCACTTTCTTATGCAAAAAGAAGGGGAACCTTAACATGATCGTTGCTAGGCAACTGTAATCCTCGCTATATGCGATCAAGTATGGATAAGATACCATTTAGCAAGGATCTGCTGGACACGTCAAAACTGCCTTTGGGGTTAGTGGTGCAACCCTTGGCAAAGCCAAAAAAGGATGAAGTGCCTATTCAGGTGGTGGATCTTGGTGAAGAGGGACCAATTCGCTGTAATCGCTGTCGGGCTTACATTAGTCCTTGGTGTACATTCACACATGGCGGATCTCGATTTGAATGCAGTATTTGCTCACATTCCAATGAAGGTATGTATACATAGTGTGCTATGAGGATGCATGTTTGGCAAGTGAAATTTACATTTTTCGTTACTTTTACTACTAGTGCCATCATGGTATTTCTCCAATTTGGATATGTCTGGACGACGTGTGGATATCGATCAAAGACCCGAGCTGCGATATGGCTCTGTTGAATTTGCTGTACCTGCCGATTACAATTCCTCAAGAACACCAGCTCCCCTCAATTACGTCTTTGCCATCGACGTTTCTGCACAAGCGGTGAAAAGTGGGATGGTACAGGCTGCATGTAATGCCATTAGGCACGCTTTATATGGCTCGAGTACTTCCAAACTTGCAGCAGGCAACAAAATTGGATTACTTACCTTTGACCGGTCCGTGCATTTTTACAATTTGGCGGTAATGTTTATTCTCTCCATGATGGACAACTATTTTGCTGATCATGCGTTTTCATAGGCTGGTCTATCACAAGCTCAAATGCTGGTCGTGGCGGATATTCATGAGATGTTTATACCCTTGGAACACGGATTCCTCGTGGATCCCTTTGAATCTCAGTAAGTATCAAGAATAAGGGGATGTAGGAATGATGTCAATTAACCATATAGCTCTTAGGGATATTATTACGGATCTTCTCGATAGCATACCCCATTTGTTCAAGAACGCAGCACGACCCGAGGCTGCTTTTGTGTCAGCGGTACAAGGTGGTCTAATGGCTTTGGTAAGCATCCTATTGGGTCCTTTGATGAAAGCTATTTCTAATTGTAGGGTGTGTTTATTTTAGACAAACAATGGTGGTAATCTCTTTGTGTTCCAATCGGTGCTCCCCAATCATGGTCTTGGTGTGCTCCCTTCACGTGATGACAAGATGCTGTACAACACGGACAAGGAAAAGCAGCTACTGAATCCTCAAAACGACACTTACAAGGAGCTTGCGAATGAATGTGTCAAGAGTGCTGTTTGTGTGCATACATGGCTCTTCCCAGCACACTACATTGACGTGGCCACGCTGGGTGTCATTTCGAGTCTCACGGGGGGTGATGTACGATACTATCCAAACTTTTCTCCAAGTGAAGCAGGCAAGGTAACCTACCAACTGGATCATGATTTGCACCGTGAAGCTGGTTTTGATGGTGTGCTTCGTATTCGATGCTCGGATGGTAAGTAAGGTTACTATCACATTTGCAAACATGGGTTGCTTATGTATATATGGGATTGCAGGTTTACAAGTGGTGGATCATTATGGCAATTGCCACATGAGTACATATACGGATATGGATTTGGCGGGTATCGATCAAGACAAGGCCATGGCAGCTGTTCTCAAGCATGATAGCAAACTTGACGTCAATCGCAATGTTTGCTTCCAGATGGCATTGCTATATACTACCAAAGCAGGCCAACGACGGGTGCGCGTGCATAATCTCAGCCTCCCTGTATCGGGTCAAATCGCAGAGGTGTTTAGGAGCGGGGATGAGGATACCACTGTGAGCATCTTGCTTCGAAAAGGTAAAGGGCCAAGAGCTATGATCTTTGTTTTCAACAATGGCTGATGATCATTTTCCCCTCTCTCTTTGTAGCCATCTTTGATATGCAGCATAAGAGCAGGAAAGCTGTGCATGAAAAGATAACCGAAGAAAGTGTGGCTATTTTGACGGCCTATCGTACCAATTGTGCCGCGACGACATCAGCTGGTCAGCTTATCCTTCCAGAGGCTTTCAAATTGTTGCCGGTGTACATGCATGCATCCATGCGATCACAAGCTTTGCGAGGAGGTTGGTATTTTCATTTTCTTTTTACAACCCAACAAGATGTGTTCATTGATGATTTTGATTACAGTGGGCGTGGATACCAATACGGATGCCAGGGTCAGCTCGATGAAGCTTTTGAACAGCATGGGTGTAGCTGATTTGGTCACCACGCTTTATCCACGACTTTATTCTGTTAGCGACATGAAGGATGATGAAGGTATCAGTAATCTCCGAGGAGAAGTGAAATTGCCACCCATGGTACGAACATCTTATGACCGGTTGAATCCTACGGGTGCCTATCTACTTGGTAAGAAAAAGACGCTCTATGGGTACACATACTCAATATGGAGACTGAGGATATTGTTTTCTAGACACTGGATCGGATCTATACTTTTGGTTGGGTAGCAGGGTGCCTTCAGATTTTTTACAAAATGTGTTTGGCGTATCAAGCCTACAGCAAGTGGACGTGAATATGGTATAGAATTGATTGGATATCTATGATAACATAGGTTGATTAATGGATGGTACTCTTAGAAAAACTTGCCAGTGCTTGACAATCCATTATCCGAACGTATCCAGGACATTTCACGGCAACTGCAATTGCAACGACCACGCTATTTACAGCTGCGAATAGTGCGTCAAGACATGGATGCCATTGAATTTGTGTTTTCTACATGGATGGCTGAGGATCGTAATGCCGAAGTACAGACCTATGTCGATTATATGTGTGTTCTTCATCGGAAGATCCAAGAGGAGATGAAAAAGCATAGCAACTATTGATCACTTGTATAAAGCAACGTATATGACCAATGTATCCCCATTCCCCCCACCCTTTATGATAATGATTTGACAGATGTACGTTTATTACTAAGTATACAAAAAAAGCGATGATCCCAATACCTAAATGATCTGCAATGCTATATAAAACCCTTTTACCATACAAAGTAAATCAGGAGCGTCACGTTGTAATCTCATTGGGTAGGGATAAGCAGCGGCCTTGACAGAAACGAACACTCCCACACGTTATATTCCATTATCTCTCTTTTCGTTCTCAACCCACACACACACACACGCACATATACACATACACAGTTATGGCTTCTACTTTGGATAAAGCACTTGACGACGTCATCAAGGAGAAACGATCGAGTCGACGATCAAACGATTCGCGTTCTAAGCGATCCTCGGGTCCTTCGACTTCTCGTGGAGCAGGTGGAGCAGGTGGAGCTGGTGGTATTCGTAAACGCAACATTGGATCATCCAGCCGATTGGGAGCCACCTTTGTACGCACTGTTCAATTGCGTGGCAATGGACCATCAGTAAGTGGTTTAGTAAAAGTCATGGTAAGGATGGCGACTGATCGGTTACAAAACTTTTCTTCAGGGTGGTGGTAGACGTAACGTAAACCAGCAGTGGACACACGACTTGTTTGACGAGGATCGTCATAGTGGTCGTTCAGTTGTCTCACGACTAGGTCCTCGTGGTGGTGGTAATCGTCCAGGCCAAGGAGGTTCAGAGCTATTGGTTGAAAACCTTCATTACAATGTAGTCGAAAAGGATTTGCAGGTAAAAGTGGGGATTTGTGGGAGAGATGTAATATCATTGCTCTTGAGTCTCACACACATACCCTTCTTGTTGTATATAGGATTTGTTTGGTATGGTTGGACAAGTAGAAAGAGCTCGTATCACCTTTGATCGCTCTGGCCGTTCTACTGGTACTGCTCATGTAAGGTTTGCTCGCCAATCTGATGCTGAAAAGGCCCTTGACAAGTACAACAATGTTGAATTGGATGGTAAGTAACGCTATTCATATAACAAAAATCGAGAGAGGGTGATGCTCATATATTATTTGGGTGGATAGGTCAAGTGATGCGTATCCAAATGGCACCTTCTCGTCGTGGTGGTGATCGCTCAAATGGTGGAGGAGGATCAACGTATGTTATCCCGCGTTTTCTTTTGGTGCCAGTGACGCAAACATAGCATGATGGATATGCTCCTGCGCCCATTTTACGACAATTGTATTGGATCCTGATCCCATGATTCATTCTTTTATTTAGCAGAAGCAACGTTGGCCGAGGCGGTAGCGGACGACGTGGTGGCGGCGGCGGCGGCGGACGTGGTCGTCAAGGAGGTGATGGTGGCTCACGAAAGATTAGAAACGAAGCAGATTTGGATGAGGAAATGGAGGCATATATGAAATCAAATGAGGTAAGTTTGGTTGTGATTTGGATAATGAATCATGTCATTGATACAATTCCCTTTGTTTAGGATGGTGACGCGGATAAAATGGCTCTGGATTGAATGGAGCTTCCGTGACAATAAAGGCACACAGGAAATTGATCAACAGCGTCTCTCTCTCTCTCTCTCTCTCTCTCGAACTACAGAATGATTACTACTCCCTTCTCCTTACAATCAAGTGTTACACACAATACCCACCGTAAAAATGGCAGTAAGATGAACACCGCACACGTGTTGCAACATGCCGCCGCTCAATGATATAAAAGTGTTCCACAAAATCCATGCAAGTACAGCGTGATTATATTGTTGTAAAAAAAAAGTGGTTATACATATTGAATGAAGTTGGTGTAATTATTACATGCTTTCTATGAAAAGTGGATGTTGTGTTGATTGAATGCGAGAAGTAGTCTAAAAGAGGCATTGATGAGTATGGCTATAGGAAACAAAGAAAATGGATATCAAAGACTCACTTTAGGAAATCGTCCAAGTCACATTTGGCAGCACGGGTATCATTCATGCCTACTGATTCCAAAATACCCAATACTTTGCTCTTGATATCAAAATCACTCTCGATCATCTATTATCCTAATCAGTGATCCGCCCTCTTTTTTTCACTTGCTAGTATCCTTTCTTACCATTTCATGTGCTGAGCAATAAGTCTTGTAGTTTTGTTCGAGCATACTGAGAACGGTTGTTTGCTTGAAATTGGCGGCCAATGTCTTGTGTTTTCGTACAAAGAGAATACGTAAAAGACCATCAAATTCTTTTGGATCAACGGGTGGTGGTGGGTTCTTTGGCTCGAGACGAACGACGGATGATTCAACTTGGGGTGGAGGGCGGAAATTGTTCTTGCCAACTTTCATGACGTGATCGACCTTGGCATAAAGTTGGACATTGACAGACAAACGACAATAAAGCTCATCGCCAGGTCGTGCCACAAGGCGTAAAGCGAATTCACGTTGAAACATGAGAATAGCACATCTATTGTTGCCAATGGATCAATCATCATCACTTAATCACATTCATTGTTTCCTACTTACCTGAAAAGAGGTCGGTGCTCCAACAATTTGAATACCAATGGGGATGAAATTTGATAAGGTGTGTTACTGATGCAGACATCAAAGTAGGGCAACTCGGTCTTCATAAAATCGCCAATCATGATATGGAGTCGTCGTTGATCACCACTAGATACATGTAGATCCCATCAATATGAATTCCTAGGCTTGGTATCCTTGACTCCCTTACCTTGCTTGCACACGCTTTTGCAATTCAGCTGCAAGACGAGGATCCATTTCCACAGCAACCACCTTTTTGGCTTGGGCCAAGATCTTCACTGTCAAGTTACCAGTACCAGGACCAATTTCCAATACTGTATCCGAGGACACCAAGTTGGCCTGAACAAAAACCACCATGTCAGATCTATTATGCCATGCCCGATCTCTCTTCTCTTGCGACGGTTACCTTGTCAACAATGCCCTGGGCAACCAATGGATTCTTCAAAATGTGCTGACCGAGATCCTTGTTGAAGATTGGACCGAGTGATCGTGCATCGGTAGCAGACGCAGCTTGCTTTTTTGACTGTTTGGCGGTGAGTTTTGGCATAGTGGGATGAGAACAAGAAAAAAAAAATGCAACAGCGCCGGAGTCACGAGACAAAATGCAGGCTCATCGAGTTAGAGATCAGCTACTTTTACACTTATCAATCAATGCTCAACTCTTTGAAGGTGCTCAACACACATCTCATATCTACTATAACGCATGATCCCATCTACCTCGTAAAAGATGTACCCTCCTTGTTGAATAAAAGATGATACCATTAGAGTGCTTTGATTCGTATTTGGCTTATGGTGGATGTAAATCAGTGGAAACGAGAGAGGTGCACCTAATGCAAAAGATATCAACTTGCCCACTACATGACCAAAGATGTCACCAGTGCAAGGGGAGGATGATGTATTGATTTGACATGAAGGTCAAGGAACCTATCGGGCTACAGCACCGGTAGAAGATCGAACATCCGAGCTGGGGTTACAAAACCAGCAATCTCTCTAAAGCAGCTTTGCTCTCTCACTCTCTTACTTATACCGCCCAAAACACTTATGGACAACGGCACAAAACAATCGTCTTCCCCTCCACGTTACCATGCTGATCAAGCAACATACAGAGATTTGGTCATTTTCGAGGAACGGTTGCGTGGCAACATGACACGGCTGCAACGGAGGAAAAAGAAATATGAAGGTAAAGGTTTGGGGAGCCAATGGCGAGCATTGCATTGCAATTGACAATGGAGGGGTGTTTTTTTATAGCATTACTTGTTGGTATCCTTATATTGCTTGTCTACTTTTTCTATGTGGTGTTTCTTTCGCCGAGCAAGGTATGTATCAGGGTTGTTGAATGTTTATGCTATCCACCCCAAATCCCCCAAGTTTGGCAAAGTCTCTCCCTCTAATCCATCCATGCTGCCATTAGGATTTCTTTATCCATTTGCTGAATACAGCTGCATTGATAGCAGTAGCAGGCACCCTAGTATTCATCTATCGATCTGGCATCTATTCAGAGAAGATCGTATTTGCATCAGAGTGAGTATTATTATCATGCATGCCATGAGTGATGATGACATTGATTTCCATCTCCAGGTTTGTTCCCCACTGTAACCGTGCTCTTCGATCATTCAATTTACAATTCAATCGACGAGGGAATACCGGCATACTAAGCTTTTATCGACGCATTCCGCACGAATTACAACAAGGATTCGATGCCTATCGGAAGCAGTACCTGGCAAGGAAACGTGCACGGCAAGCAAAGCAAAAGGCATCATAATCACTCTCACAACAACTCTACAACGTATACCAACCAGCATGTGGATCCTTTAAACAACATGGCATGTTTTATTTGAGCCCTGTTTACATAATAGTTAAATACATTTCCTTTCTTCAAATAGTGTAAGAGAGCAAGAAGTGATTGTGTGTAATATAAATTAGAGCTTGGCTGCCTTGATATAAGAGAGATTATCCTTTCTGTGGGTGATGGTCTTCATCAATTCCTAAATGTACATAAAAAAGTGTTAGCTATGATGATGTAAAACGATTTTTTGCTATACTTGCCCCAAAGTGTTGTTTGCCTTGCTCAGAATTGACGGGGTTCTTTTGCACAACATCCCACAATGTTCCATATGGATTGCCTTCCTTTCGACCAAGTGCAGTGTTAAGCTCCTTGTCAGTGAAACCAAATGCATCTGTGAGACCAACAGCATTGTCGGCAATGTTGTTCAAAGCATGGTGGTATTCATCTTGAATCAACTCGGCAGTGGTAGGAGCAATGGTTTGAGTAGTGACAAGCGTTGCCAAGGCCGTGTTGGCTGCAAGGGACAAGAAGAACTAGAATCAAAATTGTTATTAGCACAAGGGGAGCTACTGCATCATGGATTAAAAACTTACCAGATCAGCAATTGATTTGATGACAGGGGCAAGAGCCGAGTATTGTGATGAAGATTGCAATTGATGAACCTTGTTGACAAGTTGTTGGAGGAGATGATATTCAGCATGAGCAAGGCAAATCTCCCAGCATTCAAGGTTGAGATCAGACCATGCACGACCACTTTGCACCTTTTTAGCAAGGTTAGCTGCCAAACGAGCTGCACGTGTACCAAGGATAGCCAATTGAGTGTTGGAATCCAATAATGAAGAAGCACCGTTAAGAGCCACAGGCTGCGTAAGATCACCTTGCTTGAGCAAGTTCAAATAATCCACCGTCTTGAGATTGACATCTTTGCCGGTAGCCAAGTTTTTGATTTGCTTCAAAAGAGCACGACCCACTTGCTGACAAAGTACAAAATTCTCGCCTTCATACGTGTTGGCAGGTACAAAGTTGGCAAATTGTTCAGAGACACCACTGAACACCGAGAAACCATGGCCACCCATTGTTTTGCGTGCTTCTTCGATACCCTCCGAACCACGGCGAGCACCCCATACCTTTAGCGCACAACTGGTAATATGCATCTCAGGAAGCATGTGAGCATCTTGTCTTGCCAACTGCTCGGTCATAAGATTGAAATCATCACCCAAGTTCATGCCACCCACGATCAAGGCATAAGCAGAAGCAATCAATGGGAACAAACGATGCTTGACGGAAGAATAGTGAATGACTTGGGACTCCAATCCATCCCCTGCCTTGGCATTAAATTGTCGACGCATTGTGCAGTATCTCACAGCCACCGTACACGCTCTAGCCAATCGCCAACCAGCATCCGATACAATGCCTACACGTAGCTTGACCATGCTTCCATATGACAGCTTGGAATGAACAGGTGGTGTGTATTCACCCGATTTGGAAACCTTGGCAAATCGCATCAACATGTTGTCTCGAGGAATGCGAACATGATCGAAAAAGGCAACTAGAAGAATCAAACCACGTCAACCATCATGCATCTTAGTACTACCAAGTAATTCCACAACTTACATCCATTATCGGTAACACTGAATCCACCATACGCCTTGGGGCCTATCATTGAGCATGTTAATCATGATGATTGTCATCTATCAAAAGGCATTTGTGTATTACCGATATCGCCAACAGTGACGCCCTTGACAGGTTTGTGGTCAACTAAGGGGGGCAGGCAAACATGTGCATCAGCTGACATGCGGCATATCCGAAAATCTTTTGTGTTACCTGGCGATCGAATAGGCACAATGAAAATGTGAGGACCATAGTTCTTGCCCTTGAGAATCAATTGGGCCTATGATGTATCATACCCCCCGTGTTAGCAAATGGACTCCTCTACATGATGATGCTAGATGTTGGTACCTGTAGAACAGCATGGGTGGCTGCAACACCTAAACCACCGATCCACCACTTTGCAGCCTAATAGCATGTATGTAAGATAGGTTAAAGTCCACTCATCAGAGGATATTCTCCCTCACAATACATACCGTGATATCAGGGCTGTTGATAATGAATTCATCGGTGGCTTCATCAAAGGTGGCAGTGGTTTGTAGACCAACGACATTGGATCCGTGACTAGAGAGTAAAGGAAGTTGGTTTGTACGGGGTGAAAAACAAGGAGATGATGATGACAGGTTGCTGCACAACATACCTCAACTCCGTTTGTGCGTAACAACCAAGGATGGCATGTCGCTTGGATGCTGTCAACCATTTTGCAATTTGCTCATCTGTGCCTTGAGACTGAATGACTGGTATGAAAGCTACAATGACATCAATGCATTAGATTGCTTAAAGGATTTCAAGGTGTTGCTACCATTACATACCTCCATAGTTGAGTGTGAGCTAAAAGTAGAAAGCATGAAAAACATGTCAACGCTCGGATCGTTTGCATATAAGGGGGGTGGTGTGCGTCAACATACCGGTGTGGGGTATTCTGAAATGGCGATCATTTGCAGGTATTCTTCAAAGGACATGTTGCGTTCTTCGGCAATTTCAATCATGCGTCTTGCAGCAACAATCGAATCAGCAAGTTGCTATATGGATAACATGGCGTGTTTAATATCATGAAATGGGCATGTCAATGATAGTAGTTCTACCTCTTGACGGCTTTGAAAAGCGGCACGAGAGCTGTCAATTGCTGGTTCATTTTCCAATATTTGTCGTATTTGCTGTCGCTTGGCTAAGGCTTCAGGGCCACCACGGATAAACGTCGTCAACAAGTCGACTGGGAATGTGGCCTTTTGGCGGGCAGCATTGAGGTCAATGACCGATTGTTGTAGTTGATTGGAGTTGGCCATGGGGGTTCAATGTTAAAAGAAAGAGAGGTGGAGAGAGAAAAGAAAGAGCTTGGGGAGGGTGAAAAGTGAACAAGGTACGGAATAAATGAGCGCGTGTGGCACATACATAGTAATAGTAGTAAGCTGATCCCCAGGGCATAGCTGAACTGCTCTATATGTCATTTGGTATGAGTAAACTCACACGGCCGTGCGAATTGATTGGAGGAACCCCACGTTGATCGCATTACGGTAAAACCTTATTGCCAATGCATTACAATTGCTTTTTTTTATCACGTACAAATGTTGAACAAGGGGAGGAGAATGATGATGATGCTACTACTACTTTAAGAAGGCATACCATCCTTATGAGTGGCTGCCCATTGATAGTAATACAAAAGAGCGATGGTAGGTTGTCCGACTACACAGAATGATATCCTATACGCAATGCATTAGTTTTCACGTGTCAATCATCACCGCTTACTATTCCTTACCAAAAGATGGTGTTTCCTAATGCACTATCCTTGCCACGCCACTTTTCCAATGCACGTGTAAGTGCAATAAGAGGGATTTGACCAAACATGCCCCAGAATGCAAAGCCTGTAATAGCATGGGTAGGGACACCAACAAGGACTTCATGCAACACAGCGGACACCAAAAAGACCAACAGCTGACATACGGCTGGCGACATGCCCTTTTGCACACTAGGAATGTACACGTGACGCTTGAAGAAAAGATAGACAGGTCGATTCCATAATCGCCAATAGGTCGCCAAGTTGCCTGAATTCCACCATGCAAGATAAAAGGTACGGTCACCAAATCGTAACACCTCACTAAGCGCATTCAAGAACGCGTGGAACAAGGCATAAAACATAAGCAGCCAAATGACAACAGCCGTAGTGGATAACTTGAGAACACGTTCGATGATGACCACCAAGTTACGATCTTCGAGTGCACGCAAGGAATTGGCCAAAGTGGGTTTTGCATATTGCTCGGTCAAGACATACATCATCACAAGGCAAACGACGAGTTCGCCTACACGCTTGAGGAAGAAAGTGGCTCGGAACTCGGGAGAGCGTGGATAAGAGGGTTGATAACAGAGCGTGGGCGCAAAGAAGAAATAGACCAAATTGGATGGATGAATATTGTTGGGGTATCTTGCATCCTTATCTTCCACCTCGTTATCCTCATCATCATCATCCTCATCATCATCCTGTTGATCCAATTTTCCATCCACATAGAGTTGACGCAATTCACGATTGACGAGTGCATAGGAAGTGAGTTTGAGAAAGGCAATGAGACAAATGACGACCACAGCGGAGCCAACTATATGTGTATGTGTACACAAGCACAAACCACCCAGTGAGTAACTCAAGCCCACGTGCTTTTGATATACCGAAATCCCTTACGTACCGAGTGGATGGTAAATCTTGGTGTATACAATGTACGATGGGTATGCAAGTAAGAATGTCAAATGAATAATGTGCATGGCTGATGCTACGCGCTCCAATACGGCCACTTTGCTCTGTACATCCGGCTTGGTGTCCCTTGCCCAGATAGCTAATTTGGCCATAGCGTATTCCACCACCATGCTGATCCCCAAGCTGAGAGGTACACTGAGCCACGCCAATACAAATAAACCATAATCTTGATAGGGAATGTAGCTGTGTGGCAATCGAATAAGAAGACCATACTTCATCCAATTCTCAATGATAAGTCGAATGTTGCTTGCACCCAATACCAGCACTACAACAGACATGTAAGTTTTGACATGTTGTTCATCATCATGTTGTTGTCTTCTTCTCCTACTTACTTCCTAAGCGAATGAATCCATTGTAGTTTTCTGGTGGAGCTTCCTTTGATAAGACTGAGGCCTTGCTTAACGTGTGAATAGGGATGGTGTGTGTCAACCCCTGATACGTCTGGCGTTTCTTTTTGTCTTCGTGCTTCTCTTCGAGAACAGTGGACACTCTTCGACTGGTAATGTGGAAATCGCTTCGGTGTCGAATGTCAGACTGATCGTCCTCACTATCGGTGACCACCTTGATGGGCCGACGATGAAGGGTTGTGGCCATGGTGAAGAATACAAAAGAGAAAGAGAGATAAAGAAAGAAAGAGAGCGTGTGTGTGTGTGTGTGAAGGATTAAACGTTGAGCGGACACCCAAAGGATTTAATGATTCCTGCTTCGGCTTGCATGTGAAGACTGGTCCCCCTCACACCTCTCTTTCCTCCCGTCAACAATGTTTTCCCGCTCACTCGTTCAACGTGCTGCATACACCACCTTCAATAAACCCGGCCCTATACCTCTTGGCAACAAGAAACAACAACAAGAAATGCTTGACCTCATTCGCAAAAAGCAAGAACAGGATTTGAAATCAGAAGGCGAACTCCATGACGACGCTCTCAAACCTCCCAAACCTGATTTCGAAGGCCACGTCAACCCAAAGACAGGCGAAGTAAACGGCCCAAAGAACGAGCCATTGAAACATGGTGATTGGAGCTTCCAAGGACGGGTAACTGATTTTTAGTCATTATCAACCATCATTGTACATAGCCAATATCTCGTGTAATACAAGACCCACTTTGATTACAATATACATTTTATTAGAGAGAGTGTGTGTGTCATTTAGTTGTCAGACAACACCTTGGAGAAAAAGTTAGCAGTGAGTTGAATAGCTTCTGTGGCACGCTTCTTATTAAGTTCATCAGTGTAATCACCACGAGCAGCAGCAAAACCGTGAGGCATATCTATGATTGTTGTTTGATACATTGTCAACATCTCATTGTTGTTGCCACACTATAAATCATGATGTCTCTTACCATCAAAGCGGCGGTGTGCGCACTTGTCACCAAAAGGCTTCTGAGACACGACCTTCATGTATTCAGTCTAAATGATAGAGAATGAGCCTTTTGCTTTTAAGCTTATCCTTCCCCACTGTTGCCATCGTTACCATATCAGGTTCATCCTTGCTGGGAAGAGCAAGGAGAGGAGCACCAGCCTTTTCGGCATCCTTGACATCAACAAAGGAGGGATGGACAAGCGAGGCACCACCAAAGAATGAGTCGATGGCGGTCATTTGAACAGCAATCTAAAACATGCGTTAACGATGATGATACATTGTGTGCTACAAACAAGAGATGATCCTCATTGTTCTTCTTCCACCCCACCCCCCTCCCACACAAACCTTGGCACCCCAGCAGAAACCGACAAGGCCAGCCTTAGTAACGCCTTGACCCTGAAGCCATTCAGCAACAGACTTGATTTGAGGAGCAACCTAAAATACCATACATTTGGACGATGAATACATATAATGGATAATGCACCTAGTAGTGTGAAACATACCACTTCAATGGCGCCAACCTTGCCAATCCAAGCAATAAGAGCTTGCATGTCACCCATCTTTTCTTCAGTCCAAGGCTCACCACGGAAAAAGTCGGGCATCACAACCTTGTAACCACATTCCTTGGCAAGGATGTCGCAAAACTGCTTGGTGTTGTTGCTAACACACACGCAAGTATGTTAATTTCTTTCTCATAAAGCATTTGCGCTCATACACTTACTGGGGGCCGAAGATATCGTAAATGACGAGAATGGCCTTCTTGGCATCCTAACATCATGACACATCTATTAGTCAGCCACCCTTGAAAACAAGATACTACACCCCGGGGATCATTTTCTTACCTTAGGACCAACAACATAGACGGGAAGCTCATCAGCTCCAACCTTTTCGATGGTACCAACAGCCTGGTAGTTGCTGGCAACAGGAGGAATTGTACAACAAGCGTGTGAGTGCGACATTCTATATAGTGTGTAAAGGGGGAGAAAAAGCGGCGCGCCTTTCAACCCGGAGCTTCGATTTCATATAAATCCTGAGTGTCGGGCAACCAAGGTTGGTGGGTTTGGTGTGATACAGCCATCCAATGATCCTCCTTCTTCTCAATGTCAGCGGGTTTTTCTTTTCGCATACACCATCATCACGCGTTTATTTCCCCTCTTGAGGATGTTTCTCATTTTGACAGTGGAGAAAAGTATACCCATAATAACATCTATTATATCATCATCTACCCACAATATTGATCCCCCTTCCTCGGAATGATCTAGAAGAGTGTCATTGTGGATGAACAAAGAAACATGGCATTACTTCACCTTCTCATTAAAGTAGAATGAGCATCCAACCTCCTTTTCGACATTCAGTGACATCTACTACATTGTATGTACGAGCCGAAGCATCATCATTGACCGCTTTATTGAATTAAATGCATAATCAAGTTCACAATCATATTCAATCCTTCGACATCTATGACAATCCGGGTATCTCATCTACGAATGTGGTGCATGTATGCTACATGTTGTTGTTAACCTTAGGCGAGTGGGGATGGTGATCGGCTTGAAGCCGACGATAGCCAAGTCGAATTTCTGTTGTTGTCAAAAGTCTTGCTCCGCTCCCACAACTTTTCCTTCAGCGACGATCTCGAAAGCCATGGTCCAGAAAGCCTGCTTGAAATGCAAGACCGCTGATGCCACAGTGCTCATTCGACATGCATACTACTGCCAGTGCGTATCCAAATGGGGAGACGACTTGAATCAACCACCACCATTAACTCTTGGATCTGTAGAACTTGCTTCGTCTATGCTGTTATTGGCAAGTACAGGACAATCATAAACAAATCGAAGACGATCGCACGCATCAAGGGCAAGGTGTTGCTTGCATGTTCTGGAGGACCTAGCTCAATGTGAGTAGCTACTTCGTGGGTTGTTGTTTGTATCATGTTACTAACAACGCTTTAATAGTGCCATGCTCGACCTGACCAAAGATTTCATGCACGTTGAGCCTCATCAAAAGAAAAAGATCCAACTATTGGAGTCAGCTACCATTTGTCATATCGATGAATCTGCACTCTTCCAAGATCAAGTAGGCGGATGATGTTGGGTTGAAATCTCGAGTGGTTGATTGACAATCATTCAACTCTATAGAAAGACACGGCTGCACATTTGGAACGGATAGCCAAGGAGCATTTCCCAAAGATGGATTTTATCACACAGCCCATGGAAGACGTCTTTTCCCCTGAATTTCTTGGTGATCAATCGTTTTCAAGTGCATTGAAGCCAGTGGACGGATCCAATGATTATGGTAATGTTAAAAGGGATTCATTTGTGGATGTTCATATCATTGATTGTGGGAACCGTGTCTCTAGAGCTGTTGACCCAAGTCATTGATCAAAAGCTGCCTTCCACTCGCGATGAATGTGCCGAAGCATTAAGAGATCTGTTTGCTGGTATTGGGAAGAATTCGGCCAAGGAAGACCTTTACTGGCACATTAAACAAGCTATGTTGGTGAACATTGCCCGCCGTGAAAAGTGAGTAATCAAGGTGAACTGAGCCTTTCTGGATGCAACTAACCAAGGATCAATAGATGTTCGTATATCTTCATGGCCGATTCAGCTACACGCCAGGCGATTAAGATGATTTCGATGACGAGCAAAGGAAGGGGTTATAGCATTCCATTGGATGTTGGTGCCGAGAACGATACCAGTTTTTCAGATGTGGCTATCTTGAGGCCTATGAAGGATATGTTGGCTAAAGAGATCGGATTGTACAATCGGTTCCGAGGCTTGGATGACTTTGTTACTGCGCCCACCAACTTTGGTACGAGAGCACCGGTCAAAAGCTCCATTGAAAAACTCACAGAACGTAAGTTGATGAATGATCTCGATATAGATTTTAGGTCTCATATTGTATGTCTATTTTAGATTTCATCGCCACACTTGACCGCGGCTTTCCATCCACTGTGAGCACGATTTCTCGGACAACATCCAAATTGACACCATCAAGCGATATAGACATGAACCAGACCTGTGCCATGTGCCATATGTGAGTATAGCGTATTCATCATGCATTTGGAGATCCGGATACTAAAGCATTTTTTTTCATTTAGGCCATATGAAAATGGTATTGAAGATTGGAGAAGGAGGATCACTGTTTCACGTGCAAAGGACCAAGAACAAGCACCTGCTCAAGAGACCAACGATGCTTCACTTGTCGATGTCAACCAATCCTTGTGCTACAGCTGCCAAGTTGATCTGAAAGATTACAAACCCAACACCATTGAGAAGCTTCCTCCATACATTGCCCAAACGATTCTTCAAGAAAAGAAGCAAGATAACCTTAGAGAGCAGATCAAAGACTTTATTCTCGATGACAATTTATAAATCTGTATTTTTACCACTGCTACATTGTTGAAGGGATGTTTGATATAAGCCATTGACATAAGGGACCAAGCATTCAAAGTTCCACTTGACTGAGTTTTTCATCCGTCAGAA